TGGTAAAAAAATGTTGCTTTTGTCTAAATTTCTGATCTTCATTAAAAATAGATGGACATACATTAAAACATGAGAAACAGAGGGTCATCTGATAATCACACAAGAGGCAGGAATGGAAACAGTGAAAAACAAACTCAATCTTGGTGAGGTTTGCAAACTGCAAATTCTTAAATAATATGATCTCTGAAAAATTACTTAAAAGAAAGCAAAATTTGTCATTTCAAAAACTTGGTCTTTACAAATGTATTGTTTTAGGATCTTATGTATTTTTTATGTAAAATCTTACCACACAAAATCTTAATTTAAAAAGTAACTAGTAACTGTCAGAGGTTTTTGTAAAGTAGCAGGGAATGGAAATACTCAAAGCACAAGTACTTAAAAAATGTAGGTCAGTACCATGCCCTAATCCCCAACCTACTTCAGGGGACATTACATTGCCTTACATTCATTTCCTGGAGACTTACCATAACCTCACCTCACTTCAACAATTTACAATTCAGGGGCTTTCTCTTTGTCCCCATAAGGATGTCAAGTCCCCACAATGTGTCTGCATAAACAGATTAGGTCCCCACAACATGAGTAATACCTACACACATCTATGAAGCTTATGTATTATTTCAGCATAAATCTAGCCCACCATGTTGACAGCCATGACATTATACAAGCGCTGTCCTAATTAGCACTTATCATATGAAAAATAACAAGTACCTTGAGCACTGTGTAGGAGAAGCCAGAGGCCAATGGGCTTAAAAGAAGAAAAATTCAGGTGTGTTTGTAGACCATGTTCTGCCATCAGTATACACACACTTCACTGCATGTGAGAAGAATATTATTTACAGTGTAAATGCAGGGTGAGTTATAATTGAAAGGGCCAAATATGACGTTTGTCATTTTCAGACAAACTGCACTGCCTGTGACTAGAACATGGATCTATATTTGAAGAAGGGGCAACAAACTAATCCCAGCATTAAAATGCCATATAAACCAAGCTGAGGGCCAACAGGGAATATTTTATATTTAGCAAGCACCTATTCATAGAACTGTCCTCAAGGTGATGCACTAGTCTATTAACAATATGTCCACGTTGACTCAAACTGGTCTGATATGCAGCTTCAATGCTGCTTTAAAATGCTGATTGAGACCACTTTTCAGGAGTGTCTGAGTGCACTGCCTTGTACTAACACACCACATATACTTTGTGCTTTTTCAGAGACGTTTGATATAGCCTGACAGATGATAAAAAAGCCAGGAGGCTTGGTGAACATCTGCTATTAAGCCCTGCATACTGCAATGAGAATCCATTACACAGGATGATGATAACAGGTTGGAAAAGGATATTAAACCCAACTATTAGCTGACATCTTCTCAGGCTAATAGCTGCTGTAGTCGATCAGCTGTCTCTGTGTAGATTCAAATCTTAACACAATGAAAAAAACATTCTTTTGCATATATAATGTAATGATATCATTCTAATACAACAAAACTATTATTTTGTCTTTCTCACAATGAAAGTAACTACAGTATATATCTGTTCAATAAGTGCAATAAAAATGCATGATCAAGTGCTTTTTTGTATTTGTTTATTTCATATGCAGAAAATGGTAAAATGATGTGATCTGAGCTTTTTATTTTGTTAAAAAAAAAGTACTTATATTTACAATTTGGTCTCAGTAATCTAGCCACAGGGGTTACAAGCCAGTGACTTCTGTGCCGGTCCCCAGCCCAGATAAATC